TTGGACACTGAGTATTACAAAGTCGAGCATTTATTTTTGATTTCCCTGTTGTTTTTTTGTTGCTTTGAAACATTTTTACTAATTGCACATGAACAACGTTTATCACTCTGACAACATCAACTGACAACAACTGCAACAACAACAACACTAACAACAACCACAGTTAAGGAGGAACAGGCGGGCATTTGTTGTTGTTTTTGTTGCTGCTGCAGCTGTCTCTATCTCACTGTTTTTGTTGTGGTTGGTGCTGTTGTTGTTATTATTATTGCTGAAGCTGTTACAAGGAAAACTCATAAGCATTATCATTAACAATATTATTGTTGTTGTCATCAACAACAGCAGCAGCAGCGGCAGCGGCAGCAACTACAGCCCCTGCATCATCAATAAGCACAACAAACGGAGGAGCAGAGAGTATCCAGAGATCGTCGGACGCTGCCTGCGCATAATCAGCAAGGCATTTAATAATTTTTATGTTTATATATTTTGTACATTTTGTTGCACACCCACGCAGCTCCATTGACTGCAGACGACGTTTTGTCTGGGAAAGTTGTTGTTGCTGTTACTTTTGCAGTTGGTGCTGTTGATGGCGTTGATTTGTCGTTAAGTTTGCGTTAAGTGACCGTCATTAGTTAAATATGTGCATTTTTCTTTAAGGATTTTCGCGTTTTTCTTTGAGATAAACACTGGAAATTGTTGTTGTTGTTGTCGGTGTTGTTGCCATCAAATTGCCATAATTCATGGCCAGCAGCAACAACTTTCCTTTTTATTGCAATTTCACTGCCTTGCTACCTTAAATTTGTGATTTTCAAATTTGTGTCAGAGAATTGGCCAACATTAATTGAATTAGCTGCCAGCTCAGCACATAAATTGGCATTGGCAAGTCATTAAAATGAGTTGGCTCGTAAGTAGCTGGCAGTTGTTGCAGTACGAACGGAAGCTGATGCCGCAGTTAGTCAAATGAAATTGAAAGACAATTAACCTGATTAGCGTGCGGCCGGCAACATGTTGCCGCAACATGCATGTGTTGCTTCTGTACTACGATAGCGGTACATTTGTATCGTTAGGAAGTCATATGGCCGAGCTCTGTGCTGCCAGTGGAGATCATTAATCACAGGCTGGCCGGGACTGCTGTGCGGATACGTAATTTAGTGGCCATAAATAAAAGAAACTTCGCACAGAGCTGCGAGTGAAATTGAAATGTTTAAGCGATGAGACAAATGCTCGACTTGATTGGAGCACAGCTTTAGCTTTTAGTTATTTATTTTTGCCTTGTTTTGGCACTCGCCGAGTCTGAATTAATGACATTTTGCATGATTTTCGATGTTGTTTATGAAAACAGCATTCAGCTCGCATTTACAGTTGGTCGCACTGATTGATGCATGTGTTAAACAGAAAATGCTCGTAGTTCATATATATTTATTGTATATTGCTGGGAATACCCACACAGTCAAATAGTGCACGCACAGCTGTCTGAGAAACAAAAGACTTAGGCAACGAACTAGGTTGACGAAGACAAAGCGTGTTGCAGCTTTTGTTGTGTCTATGGCTATTTGTAGGTTTTATGACAGCCATAGAACATAAAATTGAACTACCATCCAACAACAACAACATCCGTAAAAAAGCCTTCTGTGTTCACGCAAAAGAAAAAAAGTAGGAGAAAGTGTTGCAGGGGGCCCCCGGTCAGACAGCGCTGTTTGCCACATTGTCAACGCTGCGACATCTGCGAGGAAATAGTAAAAATAAATTATTGCTAAAATAAAAATCAAGAAAAAAGCTGGCAGCCGGCAGCAGCCAGACAGCCAGGCATGCAGCCGTCCAAGTCGGGATGCCGCATGTGTTGTAATTTCAATTAATGTGGCTTATAAAAAAAAACTTTTAGAGCTTTGTGCCTATTTCGCTGCCTGGCATTTAATTAAAACATGTGACGGCATTTATGAGGGGTGGGCGACATCAACCAGCGCTTCATGCGTTATAAACAAAGGCACAAACAACAACAACAACAACAACAGCAGCAGCAATAGCAACAAGATCATCAACTGAGGCGGTCGAAACAGTGGGAAAAAGTGTGAGAGAAATGCCTCAGGCGTCGAGCATCGCCCCAACGCGCAGCGGAATTTGAAAAGAAGTGAAATTTTCGCCGTGCTCTTGTGTGTGAGAACCGCAAAGCAATTAATTTGTATCAAATACACTACAGCTATCAAAATAAACGACTAAGGTAGTTACAACCATACGAGTATTGGGTACACTAAAACACTTGCATTTAAATGGAAAATAAATTATTTTTTAGATATCTATCAATATAAAATAACTAAACACGAATTCAATTTGCGTATGAGCTGGAAAAAGCTCGTTAAAGATTTAATTACTTCGTTAAATCTATTTTAAATTTATTTGTAGTAAAAAAATAAAATAATAATAATAAAATTTAAGGCTGGTTCATGAACAGAAACAACTGTACTTGCAACATTAAATATATCCATAAAATACAAATAATTAAAAAGTTACAATGTAGAGTATCAATTAGTCAATCACAAATATCTAATGGAACTTTAAGTTGTTTTTGTCTTTCAACTTTTTTTTTTTGCAGCCAACTTGGTAGCAAAAAGCATTTTATAAATTAGAGCAACACTTGCTGCGCTGCTAGCGGCCGCTGCTGCTGTTGTTATTGTTTTTGTTGTTGTTGTTGTCGCTGGCGTTGCCGCCTTTATGCCGCACCTTGCATGCGAAAATCTTTTCACGCCTCGGGCCAGGCAACATGCGAAAAACTAATTTCGGCGCACACGTCGTATGTCTTGCTCTCAGTGGCTGCGGCAGCACGGCCTCAACCTGCAGCTAGACGACTCTCCGTGCCGGAAGATGTTTCAATTTTGTGAAAAATCGCAACAATTAAGTGATTCAGGTGGCCTGATTTCTACGCTTAGTCGCCAACTTTAGCGCTAACTGTGCGAGCCCTGGCTGCGTTAGGCTCTGTTGTGTTTGGGTTAAATTTGATGCGCCATTACGATGACATCATTGCATTCAATCGATTTTGAATGTCAGCTTTGCATAATTTGTCTAAAATGGTCAAAAGACATTTGAACATTGAAATCGAACATAAATCGTGAGATGCTTGTCTTGTGCGCTAGTCACAAACGCAGCGCTGACAAATCAATCAAGCGACAAAAGCGCGGGGAAACCATTGACATTTGACAGATAATACTTGTAGTAGCTACATTTACAGTCTGGCTAAATAAAGTTTAGAAGCTTCCAATCAAAACGGTTATTGGCGCCGTCATTGCTCCAAAAACAAACGATTTAGGCAACGAACTTGTGGCCGCACTTGAGCATAATTGATGAATTTACCTAAATAAAGAAAACAACTGTAGAAGCTACGCTTTTCCAGCAGGTGAAATTTTCATAATTATTAATGATGATGACTTTTTACGCCAGCGCAAATATTTGACCAACTCTACACGGGCAGAGAGCACGACAGCTAAACGGAGCCAGTACCGGGACAGAGACCCCAGACCCCATAATGCCCAGCCAGATGTGTAAACTGACCCACTAAGCTGGCCCCGCAACGCCGTTGGACATTTTCCAAATGTTATTTTACCAAGTGCAAAATGTAAATGAAAACTGTGCAGCGCCCTGCGGCGACCCGGCACCAGCAGCCGACATTGGTTGCAATAATTCAGTAATTTTAAAGCTTGTGCAATTTCATAAATTCACATTTTCAGCCCAGTGGCAGGCGGTTGCCACACATTTCCGCGTAATCATCATAATTTTTCATGATTTTCCATGATATTTCATTTAATGCATTTGTTAATTTAGTGAAGTCCGCATCGGAGTCCATTACCAAGTGAACACAATTTGGCACACCGCATAAAATGGCACATTTAAATACATTTCAATTTGGACAGTTCCACTGACGATGACTTCATTAGCCAACTCGTTTTGCCTGCAAAAGTGTTTCTCGATTTCTTGATTAATGCTGGCCAATGACGGGATCGATGCCAAGACACAGTTTCTATATGCGCACACATATTTTGCTTTAGCTTCAACTATGCTGCCAGTTGGGGCTCTGCTCCCCCGACGCCCAGTTGTCAGTTATCATCATCGTGCGAGCCCGTTCGCATGATCGCTTTGCCAGAATTATTATGTAAGTTTTGGCATATTTAAATGATTTATGGCCCGCGGCATTGGCCATCGGCCGTGCGGTCCAGCTTGCTCTTGGCTTTGCTTTTTGTCTAAGATGTTAACGTCGCAGTTAAAGCTGAAGTTGAAGTTGAAGTCGAAGTCAGCGTCGGCGTTGGCGTTGGCATCGATGACTTCCTGTCCATGACCGACGTTGAGGAGAACTTTTCATATGCGGGACTTGAACTTTTGGGGGCGCTAAGTCGCAGCCATTTGTTATCGATGGTAAAAGTTGCAGGCACTGAAATATTTTACAGTTGTGTGTCATGAACTTTAATGTTAAGCATGTTTTTTTTCTGTTGCTATTGCAATTGCAATAGATGTTGTTGCTTATGCAGTTTTCATTGCGCCTGCCGATACCTTTAAATGTGAGCAGTTCATGGGAACAACATTCGAGAAAGTCGTTGTTATTGTTAATGTAGTTGTAGTTGTAGTTGTAGCTGTTTCTGGTGTTGCTGTTCATGTTGTTTAGGCGCACATTCATAGGTGCCAAAGCTCGCAGACGTGCTGAGGTCGCGTCAAGCATCAAATGGCAGACCCAACACATAATTACACGTGCAAAATCTTATGTCTGACAGTTTTGGGTTAACGCGACAAAGCATCACACGGCTTCGACTTGATTGTCGGGTGTTGCAATTAACAGCACGTTTAATAACTCAATCAAAAGCACCAGAGATAGCCATGGATATGCCAAACTGACCCTCATCGATATAATATGCAATAATAATGAGCAGCCATCGATGGAAGCTGCGCCAAATGCGGACCTAGCTAACAATTTATAATTATTGCCATTTATGTAAGTGTAAACCAGTGTAAAAACATACGCATAAACATTAATAAACATATAATATATAAGTATTGTTAATGTAGACAAGGCGTGTGAACTTGATCAGCCACAAAATACACGACGGCAGGCGGTAGGCGGCAGACGCACAGCCAACCGCATTATACACATTATTATGATCTTAATTAAAAATACAACAAACTAATCTATATTATAACAAAAAAGAGGTTTTTGATAGCCGAAACGTAGATGCTCTTAAGATATACGAGACACGAACTGTGGTATATGGATTCCTCCATCTTTGCTTTTAAGAAAAGTGAACTAAATGTAGAAAAGAAGAATATAAAAAATGTGTGTTAGAAGAATGTATAAAAATAAGTGATTATATATGTTAAGTTAATATATCCATATCAATATCAGACTTTTGTGACTATAATCATTTAACGCAGAGTGTTAATAACTATTTTACGATACTCCTCAACCTTTAGAAACATTTATTAACAATCTTAATGATATAGTTTATAGACATCAGCAAAAAAAAGTAGCAAACATATTTCTCACAGGTTTGTAATTTAAACTCGCCAAAAACAATAACAACAACAAATTTGCGTATGTCGACCACAAGTTAATTGTAACGTTTGAATGCGGTAGTTTTGTGGACTTTTAAAATATTTCAATTAGTTGTAGTAAAGGTGAATAGCAGACGAGGGAAAGAGAAATGTGAAACGTGCAGAGTACCGAGAGTCTGGCCAGGGAAGAAAGTGCAAGCGCCATGCGGAGAAAGAGGTCTGTTTGCTTAACCCCGTCGAGTATTGGCAAATTTATGAACATAAAGCTGCATTTATGCGTGCGGCTTATATGCAATAAAGGTAACTTAGTGCCAACAGTGTCATAAAGGCCGCTGCCACATAAACAACACATCACAACAACTACAACACACGCACACACACTGGGGCGAAAAGTGAATTCAATAAGTGAATTTATGTGCAAAAACTAAAAAAGCGTAGCAGCCAGGCACATTGCCAAAAGCGAAAATAAAATTAATAATCACAAGAATTTCACTTTTCACGCAACGTCAGAAAACAACAACAACAGCAGCAACAGCCGCATCGGCAGCTACATCATGATCATCATCATCATCGTCATCGTCTGCCTTGTCACCCACAAACAGGCAAAGCGCTGCGAACACAGTTGCATAAATTTATTGAAATTTGCATTTCGGTTTTTTGGAAGCTGACGCTTTTGTTGTTGCTGTTGTCCCAAGTTTTAGCCTACAAAAAAATATGGCATCGATTGATCGCAACGCAAGATATTTCAATTAGCGTAAATACATTTTTGTCGTTGTTCGATCGGACGGACAGACAGACAGACAGGCACGCAGACAGACAGACAGAGAGGCAGACGGCAGTCAGATTGGAAGACGAGCAGCCGCGAAAGAGAAATCGAAAATCTTTACACACGCTTTTAAACAGCAACAGATGCGTAAATAAAGTTACGATTTTGTCGTCATTTCAAATGGCCAATGATAACCGCCAGCTCCACGATCAATGCAAATTTCCTAGACAACTTCGTTAGCGCAGCCTGGTTCAATTATGGGTAAGAAATGTTTACTTTAATGCGACTTTTTGAATTTGCATTAAACTTAATTGCAGCAATTGACTGTTGACTTTGTCTAGTTACTATTTATATTACAAATTACAAATATTTTATTTTACCTGAACTGTAAACACCGAAATTTGATTTGCTATAATTTGAATTGAATTTCGGGCGCAGCATGATAATTACTGGATGCTATGTGGCAGCCACCTAATTAGCGGACTGCATATGCGTTACGGTGGCAGTTCCTCTTTATATTGCAAATCACAAAACATACAAATTTATGCAAAAGCATTATACCAAAATCGAGAGCGTTTATATGTGTATAGCAGTGATCAGGGATAAAACTAGATCAAGGATCTTCCGGCGTAATAGTCACTCGCATTTGCTTAACGCCACGCAAAATGACAATATCCAATTCCTTTTTGCCGTCTGCCAACGCATCGTAAACATCGGAGGAGTTTTTGATTTCCTTCTTGTTAATATGCGTTACAATGTCACCCGGCTGTAGACCGCCACTAAAAAAGAGAATGGACATATTAGAAATTGAAATTCATGGACATATATATTGCCGCCTACCTATGCGCCGGTGAGCCCACAATAACCTTCCACACTAGAACACCATGCGACAGAGTATTGGGCATGTTTTGCGTCCGTGACTTCAGCTCGAAGAGTATATCGGGAGTGAGGGTAAGCATTGTGATGCCCATATACCGTTTAACTGGATAGCCTGTCTTGTAGGCGGAACCCTTTCTGCGTCGCGCTGCAGCACGCTCCAGAAATACTTTTACATAGTCTATGGGTATGGCAAAGCTAATACCAGCTGTGACCTTCATGGAGTTGACACCAATGGCCTCGCCGTCCAGATTCACCAGCGGCCCACCAGAGTTGCCAAAGGTTATGGCAGCGTCTGTTTGCAGGTAATTGATGTCGCGGTTGCGCAGCCCCAGCTCCTGTGAGGCCCGCTGGGTGGAGCTGATGACACCCGCCGTCACCGTATTGCTCAGGGCCAGCGGGCTGCCCAGGGCGACAACCCATTCGCCAGATCGCAGTGTGCTGCTTTTGCCGAGCTTCATCACGGGCAGGTTGTTCACTTGAATACGTAGTGTGGCAAGATCGGATGTTTGGTCCACATCCTCAATGGTGGCAGGAAAGGTGCGACCATCCGACAGACGCACCTGTACCATTGTGTTCGGCTTGTTGATTACCACGTGAGCATTGGTTAAAATAAGACCGTTCTGCTCAATCACAAAGCCAGAGCCGTTCGATGCCGTAATAGGCTGGCCACTGAAATAGTCAAAGTGCCGCGTATCCTTAATCTCTATGTAGACCACAGAGTCTGCACAGCCGGCGACCACATCTGCAATGAAATTGAATTCACGCCTTCGTCCGCTCAGCGCGCGCGCCGATATCGTCGGTGTCAACTCCTCCCGCTGTGCCACCATTGTGCTGGCCAGTGCGCCAAGCGAGAAAGGCACAAAGAACCGAATGACACTACGCCAACTGAAGCCGGTGTATCCATTTTTGTTTTTGTTTTTGTTATTATTATTATTATAGTTATTGTTGTTGTCATCGGTGCCTATGCCATTGGTTGCACTATGTGCGGATTTGTTGCAGCAGTAGTACAACCGTGGCGCACTACATCGCTTTAAAAACACCTCCAGTTTGTTGATGCTGCGCAGCGCCATTAATTTGTGTGATTATGTATCAAAATGTAGTTATTGTTATTTAATTTGTGCTTCCATTTGACACTTGGCTGCACAGCTGTTTGACACATACGGAAAGCTGCCTGCTGTGTCACGCAACCGCGTTTGTTTATAATCTATCGATAAGCGTTGTACAATCAAGTCGTATTTAAATGTTGGTCGTGTTTAGTGACAGAAATCTTTCTGTTTATTTGAACAAAAATCTTTTAATTGTCATAAGCAACAAGAACAAAAAGAACAACAAATAATAGAGCAAACACTTTGTTCTGTATGCAATACAAAATATTTTGCTTGTCATACTACCCTTGCCCAGTCTGCTAGTTGTACGACTGCTTATTACGTGTGTGACCCGATTAATGATGCTAGTTTCATCGATAACTGCAGCGTTAGTAGACTCTCATTCGATTGCAGGTCCACAACAGTTGAAGAGGTGTAATAACCATGGAACAAAATTAATTGTACCAAAATTACTTAAAAATTAAATTCACGTTTAAAATGTCACAAATAATCTAGTAAAACCACGCAACATCATGGAGGTGTTCCAAACCGATACACATTACATATTCGTGAAGCGAGACAAGAGTCTCTGGTGGAATCGCAAGACATCGGAATTTACAATAAAGCCAGGTAAATACGGAGATGAATCATTGTGTTGGTGCAAGGCAGCAGCTGTTTTTTGTAATTAATCTAAATCGCGCGTTGTTGTTGCCCTACCACATATTGCCTTATCATCATTGCCTGCCCGTTTTTGCGCTTGAAAACAAAAACAGACGCCCTGCAGTCTGAGGCAGACACTTAAATGTTTGTAAATATATATGCTGCTCTAGTTTTTAGCTGAATGTCAAGGCTATAAGTGATATGGCTTGGATTTCAGCTTCAGTCGCCCACTTTATTGCAGTTGCCTTTGTTTCATCCGCTTTGTTGTGGGCGTTTTTGTATGGCAGTCGGACTCTACGGTGTATGCCTATGTATGTGTCAGCTATATACATCTATGTACGTACAGAGTACAGTAGAAGCTCCACTGACGGACAGATTTTTTGGGCGTACCTCGACTTCAACAGGTCATTTTGGTTTAGTTCCAAGCTTTTCATGAACAATGTGATATTTTTATTGCTTCGACTTATATCTTAAGTAAACATCTTTTTCCGCAGAAATAGAAATAACTTTTACTGTAATTTGATTATTATGTATTCTTAACAGCCATGTTGACATAAGTCGTAAAATTTGTATGCATGTCCTTTTTATTGGCTTGCGCCCGTCGTTCTGTTAATTGCATAGGCTTTACACTTGCTGCCTTTATTGACACGCAACTGGCCGACCATTGAGTTTCCATTTAGGATTGAATTCAGTGATTTCCTAGTGGAAATCCCCCATTCCATGACGTGACTCATCAGCCGACCCTGACTTTTTCCTTTGTTCAATCGCCTAGTTTGTTTTTTCCTAAATAAATCTCATTCAAGGTTACACCGGCTGCTTTTCATGTCAACTTTCGGTAGCCGCTGAATATTTGATTTTTTCGCCTTTGGCCTGTTTGTTTTGCCGTAAACAAAACTTTTTAAAAAAGTATATAAAACTTTTTGTATATACTTATAATATGTCCTACCATATAAGTTATATAATCTCTTGATCAGCATCAATAATTTGACGATTAAGCGAAGTTCATCTCTGGATGTTGAAAACTGACTTTCTTATTTATTTTTCCTATGTGAATTGCTCTTCTAAACGATTTTCAAAAACTTAGTTTTCATCAAGATGTGCACTTCCCTCCCCCGCACTTTAGCTCATTCCCACTTTTACCATCTCTCTTTGATTTGCTATCCCTCTACTCTCGCCTCCCCTTTCCCTCTCTCTTCTTTCTTTTCCCCGTTTAATTCCTAGATTGACATCAATCTCTTACTTTTATTGCATAAAAAAAACTATTTGAGTCCGTAAGAATTTTTTAAAAACTACTTGGAAATGCTATATTCTAGGCTTCTGTCGTTAGTTTTGCTGGCATGTTGAAGTTTTTTTTACTGATAAGCCAGATAAACTGTAAAATTAGATAAGATTAACAGGAAATTGCTTTGCCTCGAGCTAATTTTTCATAATATATTTATAAATATAATGTATGTCATGCTACTATTTAAACGCTTTTACGCTTTTAAATGTGCAAACCCACAACCGGCCAAAGCTGTTGAGTTTACTGAGGCACTTAGCTCAAGGATGCTTCAAAAGTGCCGTGCAATTCTATGGTTTTCTTATTTCTATTTTTAGCTCAAGGTGGGGTGAAAGTGCGCAGCTACATGCACTTGTCGATTAATTGTGGGCAGAGTTCATTGGCATTATAATATAGCACTTATTCCATTAGTAGCTTAAATCAAGCCACCCCCATACATTCACACACAAACATATATAGAACGTGATTATTCATCAAAAGCTAAATATGTTTTTTTTCTTTAAATAACGAAGTATTGATTTCATTTCGATCATAAGTTTATCAGCTGCGAATTTTAACTTTGTTACTGGAGCCAAATATAGCTTACATTTATTTAAAGGCAAGTTGATCAGCTCCTCTATATTGAAAGGGAGTCGTTTGCGCTATTTTATTAGCAAGGCGTTAGGCGCATAAGTAATCAAATGTAAATGAAGGCAAGCAAACATCAATTAGACGCACATTATCGTTAGGCGGCAATAAAAGTAAAAGCTCTAATTGCTACATGATGGCAGCTACTGACAATTACTTTCCCCCATTAGATGGGCAGCAGAACATAAGCAATATAAATATATTATTACTTGTATATGCTTACACCAACTGTTTTTTCCAGGATGGGATCTCAGCTCAGTCGAAGACATCGAATGTATTGGTGTTACGCATGGTATTGTGGGCGTCATCTCGCTGCCCAATGTTTATGAGCCGCACTTGGTGGTCATCAAAGAGGCGACGGCCGTTGGTGCGCTCTATCCGCCCCATTTGGTGTACAAAATCAAGTCCATATGCATACTCAGTGCCGATGAGCCGGACTCTGAGCTGTCTAACTGCACGAAGCACACGAAGTAAGTTTTAAAGATTTTAAGAATATTCCAAATTATGAATATGATCAACGTGTTCTTTTACAGAAGCAACAGCTCCACGCCCACGCATAGCGCCTCCTCAACTAGCAACAAAAACAACAATGGGAGCAGCAGAGCTGCCCAAGCGCCAGGCACGAAGAGCACTAAGCTCTTCGAGGGCATGAATAAAACGTGGGGTGTGGTAAAGAGCGCTGGTAGCACAATCAAGGCTACGACTCAGCAGGCAGCCAATTTGGCGACCAAACAGGTCAAGAACTCGGTGGGGATACGAGAGCCCAGGCAAATCGAACGACGCATTACTGAGGAGCTGCACAAGATATTTGATGAGACGGACAGTTTCTACTTTAGTTTCGACTGCGACATAACTAACAATTTGCAGAGGCACGAGGTCAGGGCGGATGATGCGCAGCCACAGCCAGATGAGCGGTTCTTCTGGAATATGCACATGATCAGAGATATAATCAAAATGAATGTGCGTATTATATAGATAAAGATAAAATATTTATTCATAATACATTGTATTGCAGGATAAAACATGGATACTGCCCATCATTCAAGGTTTTGTGCAGGTTGAAGCAAGCGTCATAGGCAATGACTGCTTTACACTATCTTTGGTCTCACGACGTTCACGTCATCGTGCGGGCACGCGGTAAGCTTAAGGATACTTTACGAATTAAATGCGTTTAATTACACACCTTTACGTGCAGCTATAAGCGTCGCGGAGTGGATGAAAAGGGCAATTGTGCCAACTATGTGGAAACGGAACAAATACTCTCATTCCGTCATCATCACTTGGCGTTCACGCAGGTGCGCGGCTCGGTGCCCATTTACTGGAGTCAGCCCGGGTACAAGTATCGCCCGCCACCACGTCTGGATCGCGGCGCAGCCGAAACGCAGCAGGCCTTTGAGCTACACTTTACCAAAGAGTTGTCCATCTATGAGCGCGTGTGCATTGTTAATCTGGTGGAGCAGAGTGGCAAAGAAAAGCTTATTGGCGATACCTATGCGGAGAATGTGATAAAATACAACAACGAACACATTATCTATGTCACATTTGACTTTCATGATTATTGGTGAGCCGCCTTTGTTATTACTTGATATTCATGTATTTATACTTATATGTGTATAATCTACTAGTCGCGGCATGCGCTTCGAAAATGTGTCAGCATTGATTGACGCGGTTGGCCCAGAGGCAGGTGCAATGGGCTTTCACTGGAGGGATCAGCGCGGCATGATTTGCAATCAAAAGTCGGTTTTTCGAATTAATTGCATGGATTGTCTGGATCGCACGAATGTGGTACAAACGGCCATTGGAAAAGCTGTGCTAGAGTCGCAGCTGGTTAAGCTGGGACTTTCACCACCCTATTCCCCAATACCGGACCAGCTAAGGTCACCATTTATGGCACTGTGGGCGAACAATGGCGACATTATAAGCAGACAGTATGCCGGCACCAACGCATTAAAAGTTAGAAATTGGTTATTATTCTACCCTACAAATAATTAATGCCCATATCTATCTATTCCAGGGTGACTACACACGCACGGGTGAGCGCAAAATCAGCGGCATGATGAAGGATGGCATGAACTCGGCCAATCGGTTTGTAGATTATTTCAATTACTTAATTATGCGTTTTTAATTATTTACTTTCGCCTACATTTTATCTATTAACATTATTTTTTAATCTAATTACCATTATTTCATGATAATAATTGAAATCGAAAGTAATCGCAGCTGATATCTCTTGGGTTTTTATTGTTAAATAATTGAGTATGGTCATCATCAACCTATCGCCCTGTTATCAATCAAATTTTCAAATTCCTTGTGTGATAAGAATCGACAAAAGCCATGTCAAAACAGTTTAACCATTTTACTAATAACGCATGCCTTTTCCAAACTATAACTAATCACAATATGCAACAGCTTACGGTCGCGTTTGATAAATCCGATTTTTATAGAATTGAGCCCCTAACAACGAAATGGATGCCTACTCTTCGTAGGCAAGGTTCTTTTTAATAAAATTGAAAATGTTGAATATATCATGGCTATTTTTTAAACGAATTATGGCGCTACTATACTAAACTACCCAACCTACAAAAAAAAAATCAAAAACTTTAGCATATTTTTAACAAAAAACTTCATTTCGTTATTAGTTCCCAAAATCTATACAAAATATCGGTTGCATCAAACGCAGTAACAAAAACTTTAATTATGTCGCATAGTCTTATAAGCGTTATGCAACTTATGTTATTTGTTCAAGCTTCAATTCAGTTGTTGTACACTTCACCCAAAGATCAAAAGAGCTATAGATTATAAGCTACAAGATTGCATACTCTTAAACTTTGAACCCATGCTCTGTACTTGGGTGAAGGGTATGCCACCACGTTCTAACCAATAGCAAACTGTGTATCTATAAACCCGTTAATCTATGACTCATAGCTAATGTTGTGCCAACTTCTTCGTAGCTTTTTCATTCAAAACTTTGCCGACTCGTTCCGCCAGTGCATTATCGATCTGATGCAGGGTGAGCTGCGGCAGGCAGCTGAATTGAGAGAGGATGAAGTACTAGAAACTATTGTAAACATACTCACACCCGAGTCACACCCACCATTACTTGGCTATTACAATGCAGGCGTCCTGGGACCTGAGCTCAAGTTGCTCGAGTCAATTGTCACTAACAGGTGCGCAAATAGGACCATGTGCGAGGTCCTGCCCGCCGATCGAACAGATGGCCAAACGAACAAATCAAAAGAATTCATACAATTACAGTTTTTAGTTGCTCCAATTGTAACAATTTTCTTGTTTCTTACTTTATAAAAGGTATATTACCATACGATTTTCAATATTATTTCATTCATTAATTATCATTCATCTGCATCTTGCTTCTTTTATTTATTAAATTCACTTGCGATTTGCTAATTCAATTTATGGGTTATTCTTATGTTGCAGTTATTACCTAGCACGGTTTAAGGACTCATATCGCCAAGCCACTATCGATCTTATGCTGGGCAATCATGTCTCTTCCGAATCGCTAAGCGCTTTGGGCGGTCAAGCGGCTCCTGATGAAACTGATGGCGAAAGTGCGGAGCATGCCAAAATGTTGGTGGAGGACTGTCGCCGTTTACTGTTGAGCTCAGAGCAGTATCCAGTGGGCGCTTGGGGTTTAATTGATGCTGATCCCAGGTAATTATTACATATATTTCCCCGAGTTACCAATTTCCAATAAGTCTTCCATAGCTCTGGTGACGCCAGCGAAACCGAGGTGGACTCCGTGTTGCTGCTAACCGACGAATGTTATATTGTTGCCGAATACGATTCACATCTGGACAAGATTGTGCGTTTTGAGAAGGTGCATTTGTCGCAGATACGTCTCATAGAGCTGGGCATGCATCAGCAAACGAAAATATTTCAAAACTCCACGCCAGCGTATCTTTGCCTGCGCTTGAACTACTGCGTTGATAATCAAGAAGGATACTTTCACATGTTCCGCTCAGCCAATTTACGATTCTTTAACAATTCGGCTTATGTTATAAAAACGCAAGAGGAGCTAACCGAATCACTGACATCAATTGTGGAAATGTTTCGAATTGCTCTGGAGAATGCTGGCAATCCGGATGTGCGCTTTGTGACTGGCGGTGTATTGCAGCGACGCAAGAGTAAGCAGCCATTGCTAGACGTGCCCAAAGGCATGCCACGTAACCTATCCGAATCTCAGCTGGTGCAGTTGAGTTCCAAGGCGCTGTCTAACGTAGCTGGACAGTTCTCGAGACTAGGTCAGACTTTCAAGAAACCCTCGAGCGCCGCACAAACTGGAAACGTTGCCGCCACACTTAATCCACAAGTAATGCGTCAGTCGGAAGGCACTGTCTTGGACCTCTGCCAGGAGGCCGAGAAAGCCGTTTTCACGGTTGGGGGCAAGCAGCGCGCAAACAGCAGCAGCAGCACGGATACAGAAGAGCACGACAATAGCTTGTATGAGCCCGAGATGGACTCGGATGTTGAGATTGCTTTGGATAAAGCCAACTACAATGAGAACGCCTTCCTACCCTCAGTAGGCATTGTAATGGGCAGTCAGAAAGAGCAGCACAGCTCGTCGAATAAAATGCAGCAACTGGAGCCAAAGGATAGCATGTGCAAACCGGCTGAGGATGTGCTCACTATTTCTATAACAGCAGTAACTGATAATGTAGGCTTGCCAAATGGGCTGCTGGAAAATGCTCCGCCAGTGCGTTCAATTACACCAAATCCGCAAATATGCGTTCAAGCTCAAGAGGCGCAGGAGGTGGATGTTGAAGAGGACATGCCAAAGCTCCAGTCAAGGTCGGTATTCTACACTTAGTTTCTCCTATTACAATACGGCTTTGTTTGTTGTTTCGGTTTTTAAGTTGTCCTTAGCCTATCATTTCTCTACTTGTACCAGAATCCATATATTTGTATTTGTGTTCTTTTGTAAATGTATATGTTATGTTATTGCAGATATAGCTCTTAAGTTTATAAGTATTATGTACGGTAACCTTTATATGTTCAATTTCACTCATACGCAAAGTATTTATTATAAGCATATCAATATATATTCGAAGCATGTGTTATAAAATAGCGAAACCTTTGTGCCTGTTTTTTATACAATCGAAATGCTTAGAAAACGCTCAAATAATAAATCTATATAGCAAAAGTATTACCGCATTTTTCTTTTTACCATTTGCTTGATCCGTTTTTAGTTTTGGCGACAGTGAACTAAGCATTCCCCTGGCCCAGCCAGTCAACATTGAAGCCAACAAGCTTAAACATCTTACCAGCCCACTATCAAAGTTGGCCAAAGGAATGCAGAACATTGGTATGAATCTGGATCCACGCCGACTAACCACCAGGGTGAGTTGAAATTAACTTCTTTATATAAGCCCATATCTGACTGACTCGGTTGCTTGCAGACCGGCGCGCTCTCGCCCACCAGCGTATCGGCGGATAACTCTCCTCCAGAACGCGGTCCAGGCACCCGTGATGTTTTGATGGAAATGTGGGAAGCTGAGAAATGCAAATCCAAGCTAATAGCTCTATGAAATGAAATGAATGGAAATTAACTTCAGCTACACCACGCAATTACTAATTAGTATAGTGATATAAAGAATTATTAATCATACAAGTTATAGCGCCGAAAGTTTATTCTAGCTGTTTTACGTGGCACTTTTATTAAAAAGGAATTTATTTACTATATGTAGTCATATCTAATCGTGCGGCACGTACTTAATATGCATGTCCCTTGAACTGTGCACTATATTAGCAATGATTGTGATTGTAACTGCAGTGCGTTAATTGACTTGTTTGTGTGTCTGTTATTAATTTATGTACATTATGTGTTTACAATATGTATGTCATTAATGTAAACACAAATGTTTATATTCGTATGGTAGATTAAGAAAAGCAAAGTGTGTTATGTATGCGTTGGTCACAAAAAGCAATTAGAATAGCGTTTCAGGTTAAAATATTTTCAATACAATTTTAATATTTATGTACACTGATGTAAAAAAAGTACGTCAAGAAGATTGCAATGCTTTATAAAACTGATAACCAACTGCTCAGATTTAATTGTTGAACTAATTCTTGATGCAGAAAACATCTTATAGGCAAAAATAAAAAAACAACAAAATAAACAACACCAAAAAGACAAGACAAACAAAAGACTTGGCCTTATGCGCATATAATTCTTAATTTTACACGAAACACAAAACTCAAATTAATATTTGTTGCTGACAAATGCGTATTTAAAATAATTACTAGAAAATTTAGCAGTACCCGTTTAGAGATTAAGAACACTAATAATTTTTTGAAAACATAACGCAATTCGGGAATTCAACGAATACAGATAAATTATACATAGTACAATTATCCGAATATGATGAATTTTACTTACAATAGCCAGCTTTATGTAGCTTTATAATGTAATACAAATCTCTAGTAATATGTATGTATGTACACGTTTACGCCACCGAATACTTACATGTATAAATATGTGCAAAATAGACCCAAATATATTTGAAATACATAGAAGCCACATATAGTCATGTTTGTTTATCGTTGCTCGGTTATGAAGCTATCTTGAAAAACCGGAGGTAGAGTTACGACGGATCAGGCTGGATCAGTTCAATATACAATATAAGTGTGTTCCTTAGTAAATATTGCGCTTATGTTAAAAAGTTTTGAATATGATTTTTTAATAGCAATGAAAATATAGTCTCCTGGTAAAGATACTATAAAATTCATACATTTACCGAATCGGGATCGTTGTTTTTTAATTGCTTGGTGAATATCACATTTTCTTCAAAAAGGGACCCAAAAATAATCTGATACTTTGGCAAAGTTCAGTGAAAGCTGTTTGGTTAAGATCAGTTTTTTTTGTCCTCGATTTGACTAGGATATTAAATCCCATCCCATCCAGTTGGAAGGAAACGTGTCAGTGCCAAGTGTTGTCCCATTGTGTGATGGCCCTTGTTTACATAAGTGATAAAAAATAGCAGAGAAGCCACCACCAAGGCTGGCCACCAGAGCGTCGTTGCGTTTTGGAAATCAAAAATCCATTAAAATACCACGGAAACGGACCATATAACGCTGCCAATCAGCTTATGTATACATAAGTGTGTATGGCTCTATTGATATTGGAGTTTTATTTATGCGAACTTTGCCCCGGCCAAGCTGGGCCACAAGCCAGCACCCAGCGAACTTTTGGCACGTCAGCTGATAAGAGCCACACGGTGCTGTTATTTTTTCTGTTTTGGCCAAGCGTCCAATATCATGCTAATGTTGCCACACAGTTGCATCAATTGTTTTTCAATCAAAGTGCCATCAATCTTTTTGAATGTTTGTTTAATTAACGCACAGGCCGCATTGGCTACCTAGCCCAATAGCAACACCCACAGCAGCAACAACAAAAACAACTCGGCGTAAATAAGTATAGATTCGTTCATGCCAATCCATTTGACCCCCGGTCACGCTTGATTGCCGTGTATCCCTGTGCTGGACTCCGATGCAGTTGTTCACCCTAGCTTTCGTTTTCGCCCTGCTTTAGCTTGCCATTTTTCTATCGCATTTCACTTCCTAACTTTGTCCATGTCTTTTGCGTCCATTAAGTGTGTCTGTGCTAAGACTTGGAAATTGTCTTTTGAATGTTTCAATTACACGCCTTCTTAAGCACAGCTTCTCTTCTCAAATTGAAGCAACGCTTGAGCCACCAGTTCCCTAGTTTTCAGTTGACGGGCGACTGGCTTGTCGTGCCTTCAGTATTTTGGCTTTTATGCGCCAATAAAGTGAAATACACAGATATTCAATGAATTTACTGCCTTCAATCTATCGCATGTATCTACGTGTGTGTGTGTGTGTGTGTGTGTGAGGTTCCCCAGTACACTACCCTTAACATCTTTGCACCCGCCTGCCACTTTCGTTAAACACTTTTGCCTTAAACCATTAATTTCCTATACGTTCGACTTGCACATGTTGGTAGCCAAGACCCGGGTCTACAGAGAACTTAATTTTATTGCTAAAAGCGGGTTAAGTGCTTGACGCACAGCTGAGTGCCTCTATTATATAAGGCAGCGCAGAGCCCACTGACACTGGCTCTTTGATAGGAATCGAATTTGCTTTATGGCATGTATGCTAATTTTATGTCTAGTTAACATTCGCCTTGGGACTGGGAGCATTGTCGATGCCTCGGAGTACATTTACTTTGATTGACTTTTAATTTACAGTTGAGCCCGATGGCAGATATTGTAGCTGGTATTATGGGTCGAAAGTTAACAGCAGTATCAAACTAAATTATTTTATAGTATGCGAAAAATGCGATTTAACTTCTGTTATTCTATATATAAAGAAATTAAGCGACTTTATAGCTGCTTTTGAGATATAACTGCCCCTAATTACATATCTGCTGTTCTTGCTCAAGCTATTCAACGGACTATACCTCAGCTCTTGATAAATCTCCATTAAAATAAATGCCTACAATTTGCCTAAAACTATAAATTTCAAGTATTTGCACAATGTGAATAAATGAATCGCAAGAACCGTAAAATCAAATGATGCATAAATAAAATCAATGCCAGCCGGCGTGCCAAACATGACCTAAAGGTCAAAGTGCGCTATGTGTGCATGATATACGAGGATGCATGTTTATGACCACAGAGCAACCAGATTGACACTTGAAAGCAAATTAAATAGAAAATTGCGTTTTAGGAAAACTGAGCCAAAAATCGTTGTGAAATTTTATACATAATTGAATTTATGGTCAAAGCGTGGCACACGCAAACACACGTCCAATCTGTGCATACAATTACCCAACATATAGACAGCTGAGGTCAGATCAGATCTGCGCTGTTCGGTGGGTGACTTGGCCCATTGGCCTGTGGCTGTTGCACCACACGCCAAACAATTGGAAACCGAATGTCATCTTCAATTTCAAATTCAATTATAAAACAAATTGGTTTGAGCGCAAATAAATACAGATACACACACACAGGGATAACCTTAATGTGTATGTGTGGGGACTGGTCGAAACACTCGAGGCAACATCAAATGGCAAATCCATTCATCCACTTTGCAATTGTGTCCAGTCGCTCCAGTGAAATAAATGTAATGAAATGTTAACAAATGACAACAGGCTGGCAAACAAGTAGCAAAAACCGCAAGGGTGGCTCGCTTCTGCATCCATGCTGTCCGTCCAGCCAACATACATACACACTCGCACACACACACACTCTCCTCGTATCGAATTAGTTTGATGAGATTTATTGGCTCAAGTCCCACTTGACCAACAGCAGCGCCTGGCCAGACAATTATGGATTAGTACCATTTGTTTTTGGTTGGCTAAGTGACTGGTCGGACTCTGGAACGTCACAGTCACATGGCCATGGGCGAATCATGTGGATGATGATGATGATGATGCTAATGTCGATTCTATGGCATTATATGGCACCGATTTTCATTGCCTTTGGTTCAGATTTTCTCTATTACCTAAACGTATCGGATTACCATGCGGGCAAATCAAACCCAAACCTACGACCAGACCGAAACCCAAGCCAACTCCTGGCCAGTTCAGCCCACGCACGTCGCCTGTCAACGCCAGCCCCTTGCAGGTCCTTTGGGGAAATTTGTCAGAGCATCAGTAGCGTTAAGGTGCCAATTAAGGGCTTTTTAGTATCAATTACAAAATCGCACGTTTCCACACCTTTATCAAGCTTGAAGATGTGAGTCCATGTGTGTGTGTGTGTGTGTGTGTGTGGTTGGGTACGTATTAGTGCTTACGTATGTGCATATGTACGGGGTTGGAGCCCTCCTCTTTTATTACGTGGTCGCTGTGACATGCTGGTCAGCATTCGGTTGGGGTTGGCGCTGTGGTACTGGGGCTTCTTTTGTGAAATTGTTTTCTGTCATTGTTTTTATTTTTGCTCCCTTCTGTTTTGTCCTCTTTTGACACTCCGCATTTGACAGCGTCATTTTGCCAGTGATTTATTGTCTCGATGCCGATAAATAGGGCTTGCCATTAAAGTAGTTAGATGTCTGGAACCATAATCGAGAGATAACATTACCCTCGATTTTGATTTTTATTCCATGGAAGTGTTTAACTCAAACGAGAGGTGGGTTTCTAATAAGACTATTAACAGCTTTTAAATATAATTGTTACTTAATGCTAAGAAATAGAAATAGTATAATCAATAGAAAGAAGTATCTTACATAGTTTTGCAATAGATCATAAGAACATGTTCCGCATATAATTTTGTAAGAAAACATTTATAAGCTCTGCAAGCGCTTTATTCATTAAAATTGACAATTAACACGTTTTCACGGAGTATTTATAAAAAAATATATAGGGTTGGCTCGATTTCCGATGAAACGAAATAGGTTCAACGCAATTTTAAAATCCGTTGACGACAAAGTGGGAAGTACAGGAAAAACAATAACGGATCTCTTCTCAAGCCCTCTTCAGAAACACATATAAAATATAAATTAGGAAAATTCGTCTTGCATGTGCACATCTTTACTAAACTTTTTATTGAACCTTTCAACTTCATTCAACTCTTGCTTATATTTTAAAATTCTCGAGTTTAATAGATGTCTCGACAGCGTGTGTAGTTCTGTCTCTGACATAGGTAATTCGCCTTATGAGTGCAGATCCAGTTGTTCATTCGGAAAGCAGATTCTTTGAGCCATAAATGTACACATTGCTCGATGCCGGGATTGTCGGGCTGATGATTAGACCAAGATGTAAATGCCAATGGCAATCCGTTTGTTATAGACATGAACTTTTGATTTGTAATAAGATCGTTGCCCGATATCCAAAGCCTATCATTTTTATCATAGCCCTCTTTCATTAGATAGTTTGATATAGCATTCATCTCTTCGGCCGTTTCAATCAGTGCCAAATCTCCACCAAATTTACGGCAAATGTGTACTGATTCGAACCAGCTAACCGTTTTCGCTATTCCTATAAAGTAGTACTTCTCACCGATCCTGATGTACTTCTGAGCCTCGGCGTTCTCACACACAACTAATTATTCGGTAAAATAAAAATTAATTCTCTTACATATTTACTTAATATATTACCTTCAACATTATATCTCTTAGGATAGCTGAAGTCATATGCCAGAACACTGCACAGGCAGACTGCAAGAACAGAGTATAGAAAATATCTCATCGTATAACTCTTGAGTGACGAGCACACTTTACCAATAAGGTTGAGAAGTCAATGGGTTTTTATAGCGACTGACAATAATTGCAAATATTTTAAACAACATGCACCAAGTCTTAAAATTCAATGTCTTCATTGGCTCTGTACTTTTTTATCTTATCGTGAAGAATGCAATTAAAGAAAGACATTGCATTTAAGGTATGTTCAAAATAATTAGTGATTAAAACTCATAAGCGAATATTTCCAAACCCCAAGTTTTAGTGTTTGCCATTCGAACATTAAGCAAGTAAGAGCTTCTAGTCGGGAGCTCCCGACTAGGGGATACCCTGAACCCAGTCCTTCCAACACCAAATGCAGCTCACGCTACTCGCACGTTTGCCTTAGTAGCAATAAAGAAAAATGCATAATAAAAAATATAAATGTTCCCTTGGCCGGGTTGGATTATATTGATGGGCAATACAAGTTGGATAATTAACTTAATTTATAGCATTGTGGTGGTAGCGGGGAAGTGGCGATAGGTATAAAATGAAAGATACTTGATATATATATACTATTCTAGAAGCTGCATGTCAAGTTTGGTGACTCTAGATCATATTATTTGCCGAAATTGCTCAAAAAACAGGATTCGATATCGATTTTTAACGATTACTTGGAAACGGGACAAGTTATCGAATATCGGAAACAAACTCGATCTGCGCGGGCACTAGGAGGACCTACAGCTTTCAAGTCTCTAGCTCTTATAGGTTCTGAGATCCTTGCGTTCATACATACGGACAGACGGACGGACGGACAGACGGATAGACGGATAGACGAACGGACAGAATGACGGACATGGCTAGATCGACTCGGCTATTGATGCTGATCAAGAATATATATACTTTATGGGGTCGGAGATGCTTCCTTCTGCTTGTTACATACATTTGCACAAAAACATTATACCCTTTTTACCCATTTTCAATTGGTTCAGGGTATAAAAATGTTTAAGAAACCATACCTAATTTATACTATATTATTATTTCAATAAATTAGAAGTCACCTTGATATATATTTTAAATTTGTTGAATATTTGTTAATACATAAGTTGAAATTTCTCTATAGATAAATATACAGATCTATATAGAAATATTTTCAGTCTACCAGGAGTCTCTGCAGCGCGTATAATTCTGCCTCTGGCACAGGAAATTCGCCTTTTCAGTGCACACCCAGTTGTTCATTCGGAAGGCTGAGTCTCTAAACCACAAGTGCACACAGTGCTCAACACCAGGATAGTCGGGCTGACCAACCGACCAAGAAGTAAATGACAATGGCAATCCGTTTGCTAAAGACATGAACTGATGATTTGTGATAAGATCGTTGCCCGATATCCAGAACCAGCCATTTATGTCCTGACTTGCAAGATACTTTGAAATATTATTCATCTCATCGGCTGATTCAATCAATGCCAGATCTCCACCAAACCGACGGCATGTGTGTGCAGCTTCGAACCAGTTCACCTTTGATCTCTCAATAAAATAGTACTTCTCACTAATCCTGATGTACTTCCGAGTCTCAGCACTATCACATTTAACTGTTTGGTTGAAAATTGTAAATCAGCTAATAAAATAGTTATACAAGTGCTTTGATATATTACCGTCAACAGCAGGTTTGCTTGGATAGTTGATATCATATGCTAGTGTACTGTAAAAACAGACTGCAATAACAATAGCTAGAGAATACCTCATTCTGGAACTGTGATAAAGCGATGACAACCTAGCTTTCGATCTGAGTCTTTTTATAGCAAAATTAAGTATCTACCTTGCATATATTCATTTATGTATTTATACCTATTATATGTATATATAAAGAGTCTACGGGCCTTTATGTAGCGCATTCGCAACTTACCGCATGTCTTATCTTTTATATTTGCCTGAACCGCTTTTAGACCGCTCCAGTAAAGTCATTTCTTGTTATATAAAGTCGAAATACAAATCTTTCTGTGAGCTACTTTTTTTATGAATCGAATAAATTAACCAAACACCAGAAATACAAGCTCTGAACAAATGAGAAATTTTTATTTTTTAATGAAAACTTGTTTTTCTTTAATCAATTTCCACAAGTTAAACTTGATAACAATATGAAAACATTGCATGAATATAGTACTTATGTATATTTTAGTATATTTTTAGTATAAAATCTTTGGCAATCAGAAAACAATTTTTTTCAGTTGCCCTCGCACGCCTTCAGATGACACAACATACATTCATTTAGTGTATCTAGATTTATTCTGTAGTCTTTAAAAATGTATAGCATAGCTCCCATCATCAGCTTTAGTCCTTTCACACATATGTACTATGTCTGCGGCTTGCGCCTCTTTGAGATCCTTCACAGCTTCAACTTTAGCGACAGCAGCAACATCACGTCATCCACCGTCAGTTGGTTTCGTGTAATCCACACCCAAAATCCACGGCAGCGTGTCTAAAGTTACACCCAATTTCGACTCGTATTACAAATTAAAATGTGCCGCAGCCCACACGGACGCACACAAACACAGAACCACTTATACCATATATAGATATGTATATATACCATTTCATACCAACACAAGGACCTGCATGGGAGCATTTTAAACTGATTAGCTGGCACCTAGCCCCGTTTCCTCTGCCTTTCCCTTACCCAGCCACATAGCCATGCCCATTCCCTTTCACTTTTTGTTGCTCGACTACTGCGGCTGCCACGGGTCAATGAGATGCTAAGCATATGACAGGCATTGAAAGGGTGTCGCACAACCTTTAAAAGATTGTTCAATTTTTAAGCAGGCCGTGCAAGGATTTACAGGAATTTGTTAGCTGTTGCTTTGTGGCTTTGACAATTCAAGGGATTGATGGATTTTACTTTTGCAGCGAACGGGCAGCCGTTAGACTCACAGTTCACTGAGCATATCCTGCCATCGAGCCATTGATTTATTTGCTCGCATTTGTAATTTAGTTTTTTAAAGTTCTACGTTCCTCCCAAAACTGTCAACAGCTGAGTCTCAAAACGGTCTGCCATGCATCATGATGCTGCTTATGATTAATCGCTGGTAATTATGTTGATTAATTGCCTTATTAGAGGCGCTAGTTTTTGCTTTTTGGCGTTGTGCTGCGTGAGAAGCGAGCATTGGCCGTAGATCATGTTTTTGGGAGCGTGCTGTGATTTAGTGAGTTTTTGGAGCCCTGTGTTTTGAGGGGGAGAAATGGTTTAAAATAGTCACGTTGCCCCCACTCTGCGCCTTAAGTCATTCTTTAATTACCAGAAAGCCATTTGGCACAAATGTTTTCCTTTGTTCGCTTGTCCGCATGGCAAACAAAAAAGCAGCTCCTGCTCCAGCTTCTGCTCCTGGTCAAGCCATAATATTTCATTACATGCTGCGCTTTGCTTCTTTTTTAATTTTTTTTTTAACTTTGCCATTTCGACAGGCACTTAAAATTAAGCGTGCTCAAATCCCCAAAGACCGCAAGCCCAACATAAACAAACTAACCGAATGAATGCAACTGTGAATGCTGCGCAGCATCCGCCGGGAATACGACTGGGTAAGCACTGGGTGGCTGAGATGGGGCAGGGGCACAGGGGCAGTAGCAGGGGCTGACTGGCTGGTAACCGCAATCATAAAAATAATAACCACATTATTGTGTTTAATAATGAAAAATATCATTTTCGGCATAACTTTTGGCTTTTGTTTGTGCAGCAGCCACCCCCAAGTAAAACGCCCGCATTTTGGTTGGCCGTTGCCGTTGCCGTTGGGCCGAGCAACCCTTAAATTCGCTTAAATATTAACCGTTGGAACATATTTTCTAAATTATGTTCATTTACTTGCTGGTTGTTCTTGCGGGGGAGTCTTCGCATTGAGTGCCTTTTGCTTAATTTGCGGGCGCCGGCAGCCATCAAAAGGGGTGTGTTTCAGCGTCTTGAGTGCGTGCCAGGAGTGCTCGGAGAACTGGTATGGCAGCCAGTGGGCCACCCTCTGGCTGACTTTGTTGTTTTTATTGGCATGTTGACTTTTGAAATTAGTTTTTAATATGCGCAAATACTTTGCATATTTGGCTCAAGTGCTCGACACCGACAACACACAAGGCGGACGAACATTTTTTTTTTATTTTTGGCTTCATCGACAATTCAACAACAATTGCGCCATATGCCCTTATCGGCATAAAAACGCAAATATTTGTAAACAAACTGAATTGCAATCCACAAAACTGTTGAACCCCTACACGAATCGTAAAAATACAAAAACAGAAAAATCTCTGCATATTGACATCAATTAAAGTGCATCAAGTCGACACTCAGACAAACAACATAATTCACAATAAATGTGTGTTGAGAGTCTCTCAGCTCGTCCTGGCAACAGCAACTATTCATTAGCTACCCCCGCGGGCTGTGAAAAGGTTCGAAATGCGGCAACAGCAGCCGCAGCATCCCAGTCGGAGGTCCAGGCCTTACCCTTGTTTCCGCAATGTTCCTGAGGCGACAAGCGGCGGCAGCGGCGGCGGCTTTTGCGTGCGTTGAATATCGCCTGGGGCTGGTTTCTTGGGCGGGCCGTCGAGGTCAACTGAAATAGTTCTATAATGAACAAAAACACATTGTAAATTGTTCTGCTTGCATTGTAAATGGGCACAAGTGTGCTACGAGACCCTCTAAATGGGTTACACTGAGCGAAATTCTTCATAATTAAGTTCAATAGAAAAGTTTAGCTATGCATTATGAATTTCTAAATTTTATCAAATATTATTCGGATACTTAATTATTTTTCTAGCTGGTAGCTGTTGCATAGTGCATAAATTATAAACTCTTTCAAGCTTCATACTTAAATCTTTTATATTATTTCTAGTCTTTTCAGCTGCTGGTTTTTTCCAAGTGTAGCCCCATTTGGACATGCAAACAAAATGGAGCCGGGATTGTCTTGCATTGCTGAAAGTGTATCCTTGCCTAATGTAAAGGGCAAATTAGCAAAAACCAACCCAGCAATTTAAAATAAAATGAGCCTGGCAATGTCCTTAACTGCGCTGCCTTTTACTCTATTCCAAACTTGTCCCCAGACAATTCAATTTTACTACCACAGCCAAAGGACGTCTGGGGTACACGGGCATACACATATACGAAGTGCAGGAAAATGCAAACGGTTCTGGGCTCGCCACGCACAAATCACGACGACTCTCCGGCCTCGTCCTGCCCTCATTCACCCGACTACGACGTCGGCATGCAAAACTGCCGCCACAGCTAATTTAATAATTTATCATTTGGCTGCAGGGCAACAACAAAAGATTATTTAAATTCGCGTATTACACAACCGGGTAGATCGGATCGATTTGAAACCAGTCGAGATGGGGTTCCCTTCGTGTCTGGGTCGGGGGTTGTACCGGGCTATAAATGATGTGTTGGCTCGCTGGCAATGCAGCGCAATAATTTAAAAATTTCCACACCCCAGAAGTGACGGTGGGCTGGAGCTAGAAGGGGTGCATCATTTGCACAATTATGTATTTAAAATTAAATGATGTGGCAGGATTCAAATTTTTCACAAAATCTTCACTATTCTAATTGGCGCATCTAATGGCGAATGCAGCGAATTGTAAACTATATAGGTTGACAGTTGCCGAGAGCGAGTAACCCTTTAAGCCCACTTGAAACAGATTTGTTTACGCACAGTTGTGAAATATTTTGATTTATATAGACAGGCAGACACTCGAAGGAGCCCTCGCATAGCACAACACATACATGCATGTATTTGTAATCCTTTCATGCCCAATTCAATTGTTCGATTTGACAAATTGATTTTCACTTTAACCGGTTCGCTCTGATTGCTTTGGCTTTCATTTTGTTTGCTTTGGGAATTGACAATTTTCTCATTTTTTCCTCGATTTTATTTTTTTTTTTTGTTGCTATTGTTGTTGTTGAGTCTATTTCGCATTTGGCCACACACGCGTAAATATTTATTTAGTTCTGGACACTGGAAAATCTCGTCACGCTTTTGGCCGCATTGTCGCCCACCATTTAAATGCACGCAAATTGCTGCTTGGTTTTGGTCTTGGCCAAGTGCTCTTCCAGCCCGTCTCGATTACGAGATGCTAACAGGGCCGTCAGATGTTGTTGAAATTTATGTGCCATTGGGCAAAGCTGTAACCAAAAAATTAATTGCTTTTGCAAATAGAGTCCGCTGCAGTTTGCGGCGACACCGAAAAGTCTGCCCCGCATAGTTGACAACTTGGCCTTTTGTTATGACCATGTAATGGTTGTTTTTTGCCTCTTCGTTGGTCTACAAATAAATGCACTGAGCTTCGAAACGGCAACTTAAAATTAAAAACGGAAATTTCAAAAGCATTTCTATATAAACTTATGAATTTTACATACTGTAAAAGTAATAATTAGAGCTTGAGGAAAACACGTAAATCGATAAATAAAGTCAAGTTTATTCGACTAGGAGATACCCCAGCTTATGTTTCATCTGTGTTTACTTAAGCTGAGTTGATGTCTGCGTGAACTTTTGCAACATATATAATATCTCTCAGTTACAGTTAAGCCCACGGATTTCTCTCAGTGCAGTAATTTGGCTAGTCATATTTTTTACGCCAGAGCATACTAAGCCCGCCATTGTTTTCCAACTAAACGAGGCAATTGCTGGTTGGCTCTGTGCCCCCCAACTCGAGTATCCATTTTGAGCTCCTGTTTCCATTCTCGGCTTCCTACCTCTAGGAGGCTAGCGAATATAAATTGCGGCTTTATCAAAGCGCACGTCAAATCTCGTTTAAATTAATGAGTTTGAGCGTTGTTTTTTAGCGTGTTGCTAACGTTGCCTCTGCATAGTTTCAAATTCTGTTTATTTATGCGTCATAAATTGCCTGAAAAAAAGCATTGCAACGCTGCAGGAAGTGGAGAAGCAGCAGCCAGCAGTCAGCAGTCAGTCAGCCAGGACAGAACGGAAGCAACGCCGCCAGGCAGAGGCACTAAAATTATGAAACATTGTTTGCCACTTTGCGCTGAAGGCTGATATCGATTATGGGGACAGCGAGGAGTGCCAAGTGGCAAGTGGCAAGCGGCAAGCGCCGGGTGTCAAGTGTGAAATGAGAAGGCGTTAAGTAGTCATAAGCTTGGGCCAAACCTGACGCACTTGAGCAGCCACCCCAGTCCTAGCACCAGACCCGCGATTGGCCCACTTTGACTCGAGTTAATTAAAATGTTTATCGTGGCGAAGTGTTGATGCTGGCAATACCAACAACAGGCTCAAGTCGATCCGGTTCCAAAGTTATTAAACTTATTGTGGCGTGTAATTAGCTGACGAGCTGTCAACAATATAAGCGCCAGCCAAGGCTCCAACGTGCCGCATGCCTCCGGCCAGGGAATGAATCATTTTACAGCGCGTTTGGTTTGTTTGCACGCCAAATTGTCGGCTGATAAATCAATCGTCGCTGTTGGTTGTTGGTGGATGGTAGGTTGGTGGTAGGTTGGTGGTAGTTGGTGGGCCGTTATAAGCGAAATCCTTGCTAGTTGTTTATTTAATTGACTTGTGACTATCGTCGTATCCCTGTCGCCCGCAGTCCCCGCCGGCCCATAACAAATTTTCATAATTTGCCGTGGCGTGTGTAAATTGCGGTTCCTATTACAGACGCGCCCGCCCAGCTACGGATTGCGATTAGGATGCGGCGTAGCAAATGGCGACGCAATTATGTCACACAGTTCCTGTTGGCGGCTTCTTTTAACAGGCAGCCCAAGCGGCTCGAGTTACATTTATTTTTTATGCTCTGTCGTATTCTAAAACCTTATTTACGCAAGCGATTGCTTCCTTTTAATATAAAATATGTATATGAAACCATAAATATACAAGATCAATATGGGATATAAAAGTGACGGCTAGTTGACCATTTTTGCTTATGCGAATCCAGCCGATTTAAAGATATAGTTTTGGTATAGGTAAAAGTATTTATACTACCATCTATATTTCGAAAACCATCTTCAGGTCCTTAATACTACAACAAAAATAACAATCATATATATAATTACATCATTATACCACTTTTTAACAATTTCAGAACTTTAACCATGTGTCCTGTTTATATAACTAGGCGATAATCCTTGTCCATACCTGAGTTGCCTAAGCACATATTTAAATATATATTCTTATATAGTAACTTGACGGTTTGGCATTCAAACAAAACAGCTGTTGTGTTTTTTCTTATAGCCAATATATTTTAACTATGAGCTATGAGGCAGCCTTCTTCAAATATTGATCTCGAGCCGGCTAAACCGTCAATTAAGAATTTGTATGCACTATCCTTAAAATTCCCATAAATCTATCACTAGGAGAAAGATAGGCTTTTATAAATACTCATCAATAAAAATCAAAAGAAGTAGAGAACGAGTTAAAAGAAGAGCAGGGGAAGGTTCGAGAAATGCGCCAGAGAGAAAGAGAAGAAAAACTTGAGAAAGAGAGATAGAGAAAGAGAGCGAGAGAGAGAGAGAGAGAGAGAGAGAGAGAGAGTGAGATAGATAGAGAAAGAGAGATAATATTTAAATAGAGATACATTTTATTAGAGTGCCAACAGAGTTGTTAATATAGTACCTATAATGGAAGCTTGTTAGTTTTTCTTAAATTTAATTAGATATTTGATATTATGATTTATTTAATTTACGCGTTTGGTAAAAAAAAGAGACTTGCGAACATACAGACATACAAATACATATACATATACGTACAAGCACACATTGTGTTGTTTTTACCTAGAACTATTAAGCTGTCTCCGTTTGCAATCAATTTAATATTATAATATTTCTTGGAATTATATTGCAATTTCTCGGAATCAAAAAGAGCAATTAAATATAAAGAGCTTAACCTGCAGTATGGATTATTTGTAACTCAGATCCTATTGCATCGTCAGACGCAGTTTTGCCATTAATTAATTAAGTTGACTACTTTGGAAAAAGTTTGCAGCCTTAATTGAAAAATGAGCCTAAGCTGCTAATTAGCATATTGCTTGCGAACACGGGTGAGGGAGGATCTGAGTGCTAACAGACCTCTGTCTCTCTCTTTCTCTCTCTTTTTCTTATTTGCAATTAGTAGCATAAATGAATCAATTACTCATACTTGAGGCGTGAAACGAAAAGTTTGCTCGCCCAAAAACTTTTGCGTCAGCCTTAGTCCTGCGAGTCCAATGTCCTTGAAGTGACCGCTACTGCAACTCTAATTGGGCACAAACACATATGAGCTGGCGACCTGCCCAGTGGACAGTTGTACAGTTGTAAAGCCTTTTTTGGAGGCCGCAGCCATGCGTCAAATGGCAAATTGTTTTATTACAGTTTGCAGCAACTTTGTTATTGTTGTTGTTGCTGTGCTTTTTTATTGGACACCCACCCAGCGGCACACACTCAATTAAAACTCAAGACCCTTCATAATGCATGCGCCTTTTAGTCTTGATGTTTTAACCTTTTCTTTTTTTCCAGCTGCCGCTTGGCAGAAAAAAAGGATTATTTTGATTTTTTTTCGGCACATTTCGCCATGTTTTTTGGGCCAACTGGGGAGAGTTGGGGGACATCGTCTAAAAGTGTGTAAAGTTTAAAGAGCCTTAAGGGATTATGCGCGCAAATGTGTTGAAATTCGGGTTCTAATGAAAGAGAAGGCATGTGGCAAAAAGGACGAATGTTTTGTGCAGTGGTTTATGGGTATTTATAGATAAGAAGGTAGCTTGGAGCATGTTAAAGCCCAAACTCAGCGCCTCCCTATTGACTGACCACTTATTAGTGCCCGGTTTACTGTGTTCTGTGTTCTGTGTCCTGCGCCCAGTGTGCCGTGTCCTGTACGCCAGCTGCGACAGGGATAAGTGGGCATAAGCCACAAAGAAAGTCTGCCTTTTACTTTACTTTGCCGTTGAGTAACATTTTTAAATTCGTATAAGTGGGCGCCTTAGGACCTTCAGGGACGGCATACAACAACTAATTTTCGTTTAAGAATTTTGTAATTTCAGTGTAATTACATTTATTTGTTTGCTCAGCATTGACTCGCTGACATTTTT